TACGTTCGTGTCGAATTGTACCCACCCATTTCATTGTCTATCATTAAACAATTTGACTGTAACAGATCAAATGACGTAAGCTGCATATTTCCAATTTTGCCAGTTAATGTTCTGCGGTCTTATGAGGGGAAAGTGACAGCTGAAAAAAAAAAATCTTTGACTAGCCCCACTAAAAGAGAATTCTTTTAACTTCAAATTTTGTTTCGGGGTTGGGGTGAAGGTAGGGATGGAGGATTAAAATCTATTAGTTGGGGACCAGCCTTTCAATGAATATTTTTAGTCAAATTAAAAAGTGAAAATTTACGTTAAACAAGAAGCCCATGGGCCACAACGCTCACCTGAGTTACTTTGGCCCTGCTGTTCTTCACAAGACCCCCCCTTTGTAATATTTATTGCGGCCTCGCCCTACACTACCCAAGGATGCTTCCACATCAGTTTCAGCTTTTCTGGCCCATGCAGTGGTTCTTGAGAAGAAGATTTTCAAAGATTTTGCCTATATATTTCAATGTAAAACTTTGATTCCCTGTTGTGGGCCCGCCCTACCCCCGGGGGCCATGATTTGAATAATTTAGAATCTACACTACCCAAGGATGCTTCCACATCAGTTTCAGCTTTACTTGCCCAGTGGTTCTTGAGAAGAAGATTTTCAAAGATTTTGCCTATATATTTCAATGTTAAACTTTGATTCCCTATTGTGGCCCCGCCCTACCCCCCGGGGGCCATGATTTGAACAATTTAGAATTTACACTACCCAAGAATGCTTCCATATGTTTCAGCTTTTCTGGCCCAGTGGTTCTTGAGAAGAAGATTTTTTAATGACCCCACCCTATTTTTGTCTTTTCTTGATTATCTCCCCTTGTAAGGGGGGTTGGCCCTTCATTTTAACAATTTAAACTCCCCTTCACCCAAGGATGCTCTGTACCAAACATTGGTTAAAATTGGCTCAGTGGTTCTTGAGAAGAAGTTGAAAATGTGAAAAGTTTACAGACGGACGGACAGACAGACAGCTAGACAGACGGACGGACAACAGGTGATCAGCAAAGCTAACTTGAGCTTTCAGCTCAGGTGAGCTAAAAAAGTAAGGGGGTGTTCCACTACCCCCCCCCCCCCATTATTAATTATTTAATGTTATTTTCACCCGAGTGGAAGTCGGAATGTCCCTATCTATTTTTAAACCAATGTAGAGAAAATAAATCCTTATATATTCACTTGGAAGGTCACGTGCAGATGAATATAACGTTGTAATTTTTTTTTCTACATTGATGGATCTCAGCCAATCAGAGATATAGGAATTATTCAATCATTTAATAAATGTTTGAAATTACTCTCAGTAATTAAACGTAAGTTATGACCATAAAGGTCCCAGGTGTATACAGGTTACTTTATCTTGTTATTTCTTCAGCTGTGACCCTTCTTACCAGTACTTTTGGGGGAATGATTTGAACAAAACTTGTTTGAGTTGGCATAACTATCGACTTCACCGAAATTATTAGGAAATAGAAAACTTGTAATCCCTATGTTATTATCGGTAGTACGTATTTTTTAAATTTCCAAATATTTTCAGTAAAATTGATAGGCATGCCAACTCCTGTGAAAATGCATATATCTGCAGTACCCAAGGATCGATGATTATTGTTAAAAGTTACTGTAATGGATCATAGAACAAGAGGCCCATGGGCCACAGCGCTCACCTGAGTAACTTTGGCCTTGCTGTTTTTCGCCTGATTTCTCCCCCCCCCCCACCCCCTGTAGTACTTATTGTGGCCCCGCCCTATCCCCAGGGGTCATGGTTTGAACAATTGGAATCTACACTACCCCAGCATGCTTCCAAGTAAGTTTCAGCTTATCTGGCCCAGTGGTTCTTGAGAAGAAGATTTTTAAAGATTTTTCCTATATATTTCAATGTAAAACTTGGATTCCCTATTGTGGCCCCACCCTTCCCCCGGGGGTCATGATTTGAACAATTTAGAATCTACACTACCCCAGGATGCTTCCACATAAGTTTCAGCTTTTCTGGCCCAGTGGTTCTTGAGAAGATTTTTAAAGATTTTTTCCTATATATTTCAATGTAAAACTTGGATTCCCTATTGTGGCCCCGCCCTACCCCCGGGAGTCATGATTTGAACAATTTAGAATCTACACTTCCCTAGCATGCTTGCACGTAAGTTTCAGCTTTTCAGGCCCAGTGGTTCTTGAGAAGAAGATTTTTAAAGATTTTTCCTATATATTTCAATGTAAAACTTGGATTCCCTATTGTGGCGCCGCCCTACCCCCAGGGGATCATGATTTGAACAATTTAAAATCTACACTACCCCAGCATGCTTCCACATAAGTTTCAGCTTTTCAGGTCCAGTGGTTCTTGAGAAGAAGATTTTTAAAGATTTTTCATATATATTTCAATGTAAAACTTGGATTCCCTATTATGGCCCCGCCCTACCCCCGGGGGTCATGATTTGAATAATTTAGAATCTACATTACCCCAGCATGCTTCCACATAAGTTTCAGCTTTTCAGGCCCAGTGGTTCTTGAGAAGAAGATTTTTAAAGATTTTTTCCTATATTATTCAATGTAAAACTTGGATTCCCTATTGTGGCCCCGCCCTACCCCCGGGGGTCATGATTTGAACAATTTAAAATCTACACTACCCCAGCATGCTTCCAACTAAGTTTCAGCTTTTCAGGTCCAGTGGTTCTTGAGAAGAAGATTTTTAAAGATTTTTCCTATATATTTCAATGTAAAACTTGGATTCCCTATTATGGCCCCCGCCCTACCCCCCGGGATCATGATTTGAATAATTTAGAATCTACACTACCCCAGGATGCTTCCACATAAGTTCCAGCTTTTCAGGCCCAGTGGTTCTTGAGAAGAAGATTTTTCCAATATATTTCAATGTAAAACTTGGATTCCCTATTGTGGCCCCACCCTACCCCCGGGGGTCATGATTTGAACAATTTAGAATCTACACTTCCCCAGCATGCTTCCAAGTAAGTTTAAGCTTTTCTGGCCCAGTGGTTCTTGAGAAGAAGATTTTTAATTTTTTTTACTACATATTTCAATGTAAAACTTGGATTCCCTATTGTGGCCCCGCCCTACCCCCTGGGGTCATGATTTGAATAATTTAGAATCTACACTACCTTAGGATGCTTCCAGATAAGTTTCAGCTTTTCTGGCCCAGTGGTTCTTGAGAAGAAGATTTTTAATGACCCCACCCAATTTTTGTATTTTCTTGATTATCTCCCCTTTGAAGGGGACTTGGCCCTTCATTTTAACAATTTAAACTCCCCTTCACCCAAGGTTGCTTTGTACCAAGTTTGGTTAAAATTGGCCTAGTGGTTCTTGAGAAGAAGTCGAAAATGTGAAAAGTTTACAGACGGACGGACAGACGGACGGACGGACGGACGACGGACAACGGGTGATCAGAAAAGCTCACTTGAGCTTTCAGCTCAGGTGAGCTAACAATTAATGCTAACGATGTTATTTAGACTATTGTTTCTTATATTACTTCCACGTAAATTTTTGAGGTCCCACCATATCCCCTGGGTGTAATAACGACTTTTATCTCGTAATAACGATTTTTTAATCTCGTAATACCGACTTTTTATCTCGTTATTGCAAGAAAATCGTAATAACGAATTTTTATCTCGTTATTACAACTTTCCCTTTCTTATGACGCCTTCATTGTGTTCCTGCCTATTAATTAAGCGGAATATTACTGGCCAAAGTTTGAAGGGTTTAGAAAAGCGGGAAAAATGCTTTCATGAAATCCCTGTGTCTGTTGCGTATCTGATGATCTACAAAATTAGACAGAATAAATTGATAAAGACAAAGCTTTGTAATTTTATCAATTGATAGAATACTACTTCCTCTTACGACCCATTCCAAATATATTATGAAATACTCCCCTGGGGCCCAGAATCTTTATTTTTGGTCATTATGCATTTTTATGCTACCGTCATGGTAGCTCAGTTGGTAGAGCGCTTGTTCGGTGATCGGAAAGTCACGAGTAAAAACCCCGGCTGCAACTGACATAGAATAGCAACTGTTTCTTCGCCAAGCGCTCGGCACTTTGAAGTGAAAGTTGCAGGTCCTTCAGATGACACCTTAAAAACCGAGGCCTAGTGTCACGGCAGGCGTTGGAACGATAGAGATCCCTCACAGCTCAATGGCCCTGAGTGCTTAGTAAAGGTCTAAGGAACAAGGTTCGCTTAGGGCTTTTTTGGCCCTGTAAATTTCTGAAAAAGGAAAACTGCTTAGTTTTAGTTGGCAATGCATTAAATATCATTTAGACCCTTGGTCACTGTATATCTGTCAAAAATGACATAATTTTCTGGCTAGTCAATGCATAATGATGTCAGGAATTGCGTCATTTTTTCCACATCCTGCAAATTTCTACAAAAACGGTCACACTTTAAAGCCATTTTTCAATATTTCGTATAGAGCGCAACCTCTGATCTAAAAATTGTAATCATATAATGATAAAATCGTTTCTGAAGATTACAAAACATGTTTTATTTTTTGGATGGAGGGGTGCGCTCATATTTTGTTTCTTCGCTGAAAGTATTCAAATAACCCTGTTTTCTTTAAAATTCAAGAACACTGCAATTTCACCAAGTCTGTTTTACAAAACCTAGACTCTCAGAGAAAACTTTTATAAAGGAAATGAAAGCACTCAGTCTCTATATTGATGTTTGAAATGGGACATAGAGTGTTAGTTAATAAACTGGTATATCTACAGGGCCATTTTATGCATAAAGTGAACCTAGCTCTTTGAAGCCCTTCACTGGTATATAGCAACGTCTCTATACCAGTAAAAAATCTTGAATGGGACGTAAAACAACACAGATTCAATCAATCAATTTATGCTGATTTACGGTGACATCTCATGCCAAGGCTCTGTGAATACACAAATTTTATTATTTTTATCCTTAAAAAATTTTATTTTTTTTTTCTAAACAAAGAAATCCATAACTATTTGTAAAAAACATCAAATACTAGTAATTATGAACCAAAGAATCTTTACACTGAAATTTCAGAATGATTTCATGTTTTTAAAAAAAACAGGATATACATATGTTGTAAAATCAAAGAAATACATTTATCAGATATAAATTATAAAAATAAAGTCAAGAGATCCAAGAGACAGAACAGAAGAATCCATTCTTCCTCAGCTTACTGAATGGGAGGGAGACGTGACAGAGGTTTAGCCGAGTAACTTCTGTAAGTGTCTGAAAATCAAAATTATCTCTTACAATGGCTCAGTTTAAACAAGATATATTAAGAATTTCAGTATAATTTTTTATAAATATACAAATTGCCAAGAAAAATCCCTTTCTTTGTATTGAATAAAAACAGTTCTTTCTAACTTCTGCAATTTATATTAATTTTGTTTCAAGGTGTATGCATACAAGTTTAACGTTGTCACTTTCAGATTTATTACAACTGAATTAACATTGTCACTTTCAGCTTTATTACAATTGAATTGATTACTTTTCACTATATGTAATACAGATTCCCATATTGGAGAACTCCAAAAATCAAAGTGGATAATCACATGACATTTTTCCTCCTTTCTAATTGCAGAAATATGATGTGATACATGTACAGTTCATCTCTGTAGTGTAGAGTAATGATTTCTCGTAAGAACTGGACATACTGACCTGCATCGGAGACACTGTCTACTGTGTTGGCCTCAGTTTCCACCCAGTTACCAGAGGTACTGTTGGTTTTCCCTACCATGGGCCTAGGTACATCCACCCCTATAAAAAAAAAAGTACAGCAAATACATTTTAGAAAATCAGAACTAAAGAGATTGGGTCTCACTGAAGATTCCTTATTTCAAGTAATACATGTTTGGAATGACACTGTTATCACTTAATTTTTGTGAGATATTGGGTACTTATAAGCAAAACAAAACAAACTTTTAGTTGTTATATATATAAAATCTTTAACAATATTAATATGAACAAGAACTTTATTCTCATGAGCAGATGTTTTGCATAATTACATGAAAATAAAGTGCTGACAAATTAGAAGTGATTTACAGTAAGATGTTCAATTGTGTGAACATAAATTCTTGAGAGGAGTTAATTAAGTGATAAGAAAAAAAAAACATGCTAATTTTTGTGAGTGGTGCTTCTCATGGAATTAAATTAAATAAATGACAAGTATAATCTAAACTGAACAGATTTAATATCAAATTAAAAGTACAGTGTACTTCTTTATGTCAAGCACTGTAAGGTTTAGTTATAACCTGATATGATGGGTCACTATGAAGTAGGTGTTCACTGTATCATTATTATAGTAACGTTTTTACCTTGCATGTTAGGTCCATACGGTGTAGGAGACTGGGTGACCTGTTGGGACTTGTTAGCCTTGGTTTTGATCAGATAGATAACAATCCCCGTCATAATGATGATTAAAACAAAGGCCCCTACTGCTCCGGACACAATGAACATGGTGTAATTAGCTCCACTATCTAAAAACACACACAAAAAAATAGATCAACTGAAAATCAACAGATATCCTGCATCAAAAACTATATATAAAATATGCATATTGTTTATAGAAAGCAATGAGATTTAAAATGTTAATGGCAAACCAATTTCTGTTCTGAGTTCTGATGTTGACCATGCAAATGAGTTGGTATCAACAACCAGTCGCTGCCCAGTAGTAGAGGTCACCACCAGTGACCCTGATCTGATGGCTTCCCTCAACTGGAAGATGATTTCTCCCATAGTGGGTTCCGAGTCTAGAGCTCGCGAGAAGACTTCAAACTTGATGGTTATGCTTCCAGCTACATCAGAAATACAGTATGAAACGAACATTTTACAATTTAAATAATCTGTCTTTATCTACTCAATAAATCAAGTTCCACTGTTTAAATGGCCTTATAGTTTTATACATATTTGTCATTAACTATTATGCCAAGTGGGTATAAAGTAACTTTTTAATTAAACTAATTATTAAGAAGTTAGTTTTGTAAGTAAATGTATAAAAGTAAACGGTACAGTTATAGTTAGTTCTGTAAACAGAAGTTTAATCTTACATTCCCTGGTTATGCTAAACTTAATAGTTTTACAACAACAACAACTCTAACAAGAGGCCCAAGGTCCTTAACGGTCACCTGAGTATAATACAACAATTTAGAAGTTAAATACACTGATAGATGAAGCTTTGTTGTCCTAAAGCAAGAGAAGTAGGAAGATCAGGATCAACAAAATAATTAGTCTAGTATTCAGTATCAACTCATAACTTAAGTTCTAATCTGTCCCCCACTTAACATTATCACCATGCAGACTATTAACAAACTATTAGTGCTTCTGTACTATTTTTAAACCCATATTAAGACCTCTAGCATTGACCTCTCTTATGGTCTTTGAAGAACTTTTAATAAGATAAGTTATTTTTGTCTCATTTTTATTTATCTATTACTTACAGGTCTGCCTGATTATTAAAACTAAAAAAGTACTTTTTGAATTATACGATAAACATTCTTGCATAATTATCTTATTCTATTAATCTTTCAAATACATTATTTACAGTGATTAATTATCAAAGGTGAATGGAAAAGGGGAATAACTTCTCTCAGTAGAATACAAATTAATAGAGCCCTGTCCAGGACCAGAATGCTTAGACAAATTGTCCAGATGTTCAAAAATCTGGTAGAAATACGCTTACTTATATCATTTAAACTTTTACTCAGTTTGCTTCCAATATGCCCAGAAGCAGAGAAGAATTTCACAGGTACAATGCATTTTCACTACAGATTCAACAAAGCCTTACCCTAACACCAGAACCCAAGACCAAAGGTCAAGAAATTTACAAATTTGGAAGAGTTACCCTCATCATCATAACTATGGACTTCAAAGAATTAACACTTTTCCACTATATTATCAAAAGCCCCCCCCCCCCCCCTTTCCTCGTTATGCCAGAACCCCTGACCCTAGGACCACAAGATTTAAAAATTCTGTTCGAAGCTCCCATCTTCATCATAGCTAAGCAATTTATTTATCAGCTCAACACTAAGGAGCAGACAGGATTAGTTAATGATTAATTAATAGAGTTAATGCATTTTCACTATATAATCAATAGAGCCCCCCCCCCCCCCCTTCAAGAACCCCCAAAACTGAGGCCATGTATTTAAAAATTTTGGAAGAGGCATCCTTGCCTATCTTAATCATGCACTTAGTTTGTTTAAATAATCTCCAGTAGCAAAGAAGAAGATTTTCATAGAATCAATGCATTTTCACTATATAATCAATAGAGCCCCGCCCTAACACCGGAACCCCTGACCCTGGGGCCATGAAATTCACAATTTTTAAAAAGGCATCCTTATGCATCATAACCATGCACTTAGTTTGTTTAAATAATACCCAGGAGCAGAGAAGATTTTCAAAGAATTAATGCATTTTCACTATATAATCAATACAGCCCCGCCCTAACACCAGAACCCCTGACCCAGGGGCCATGGCTTTCACAATTCTGGAAGGGGCCCACCTCCTCATCATAACTATGTACTTAGTTTATCATCTTAATGCCCAGGAGCAGAGGAGAAGATTTTCAAAGAATTAATGCATTTTCACTATATAGTCAATAGAGCCCCGCCCTAACACCAGAACCCCTGACCCTGGGGCCATGAAATTCACAATTCTTGAAAAGGCACTTTTGCTCATCATAACTATGTACTTAGTTACTTTATTTAATACCCAGGAGCAGAGAAGAAGATTTTCAAAGAATTAATGCTTTTTCACTATATAAACTATAGAGCCCCGCCCTAACACCAGAACCCCTGACCCTGGGGCCATGAATTTCACAATTTTGGAAGAGGCACTCTTGCTCATCATAACTATGTACTTAGTTACTTTATTAAATACCCAGGAGCAGAGAAGAAGATTTTCAAAGAATTAATGCATTTTCACTATATAATCAATAGAGCCCCGCCCTTATACCAGAACCCTAACCCCGGGGCCATGAATTTCACAATTTTGGAAGAGGCACTCTTGCTCATCATAACTATGTACTTAGTTACCTTATTTAATACCCAGGAGCAGAGAAGAAGATTTTCAAAGAAATAATGCACTTTCACTATATGATCTATATAGCCCCACCCTGTGGCCAGAACCCCTGACCCTGGGGCCATGAATTTCACAATTTTGGAAGAGGCACTCTTGCTCATCATAACTATGTACTTAGTTACTTTATTTAATACCCAGGAGCAGAGAAAAAGATTTTCAAAGAATAAATGCATTTTCACTATATAATTTACAGAGCCCCGCCCTAACACCAGAAGCCCTGACCCTGGGGCCATGAATTTCACAATTTTGGAAGAGGCACTCTTGCTCTTCATAACTATGTACTTAGTTACCTTATTTAATACCCAGGAGCAGAGAAGAAGATTTTCAAAGAAATAATGCACTTTCACTATATGATCTATATAGCCCCACCCTGTGGCCAGAACCCCTGACCCTGGGGCCATGAATTTCACAATTTTGGAAGAGGCACTCTTGCTCTTCATAACTATGTACTTAGTTACTTTATTTAATACCCAGGAGCAGAGAAAAAGATTTTCAAAGAATAAATGCATTTTCACTATATAATCTACAGAGCCCCGCCCTAACACCAGAAGCCCTGACCCTGGGGCCATGAATTTCACAATTTTGGAAGAGGCACTCTTGCTCATTATAACTATGTACTTAGTTACCTTATTTAATACCCAGGAGCAGAGAAGAAGATTTTCAAAGAATAAATGCATTTTCACTATATAATCTACAGAGCCCCGCCCTTACACCAGAAGCCCTGACCCTGGGGCCATGAATTTCACAATTTTGGAAGAGGCACTCTTGCTCTTCATAACTATGTACTTAGTTACCTTATTTAATACCCAGGAGCAGAGAAGAAGATTTTCAAAGAAATAATGCACTTTCACTATATGATCTATATAGCCCCACCCTGGGGCCAGAACCCCTGACCCTGGGGCCATGAATTTCACAATTTTGGTAGAGGGCTCAATGCTTATTACAATGATGCCAACAGTTTGACTGCTTGATGTCTGGGAGTAAAGAAGAAGATTTTTAAAGATTGCATTATTTTTGGTGGTTTTAGCCCCACCCCTCAGGCCCCAGGGGGGCATGGACCATGAAATTCACAAATTTTGTTCCCCTTCACCCATAGATGCTATATGCCAAATTTGGTTGAAATTGGTTAAGCGGTTATAGAGAAGAAGCTAAAAATGTTCAAATGTTAACGCACGATGCACACCGCACGACGCACGCCGACGGACGAGAATGGATAGCAATAGGTCACCTGAGTGACTCAGGTGACCTAAAAATCTTCACCATCATCGTCATCATTCTTGACTTCTTCCACTTGTAGATTGGTGATCCTGGAAGCAGGGATTTTAAGGTAGGAAGTTAAGATCTGCATAATGTGTAGCCTGAAACTGTTCTCCTGCCCAGCTACAATGGTGGCAAAGTTGTCATGGAGTGCAAACAAAATGTACACCTTGCCAGCGTAGGCAGGGACGCTGACAGAATTTACTGGTGTCGTGGAGTCATCAACAGGAGTACTCTTAGCTGGAAGTAAATGCAAGAATCCCTTGATAAAAAAATTACGGAATATTACGCCAAAATTAAAAGCAAAACATACAGCACTTGCATTTTAAACTTGCATTATTCCATTAAATGATTTTGTAAAAGTTCAACCTGTGTTTAATATTTAAAATTGAAATTTCAGTCACCACAAATTAAGAATTTTATTACACAATATTAATTGCTGCTGTATGAACTGATGATGTGTTAAATGAACTACTGGAAAGCATGACTCTGCTTTCTCCATTACAGAGGGATGCTGGAGAGCCTATGTTTATATGGAAATTAAAAAAAAAATTATTCCAAAATTGGATGATTGGAATCCACAATCACTAATGCAAACTTGGGAGTTAATGAATGGAAGACTGATATAGCAGAGCTAGCATCTACAATATTGTTTTAAGATAATGGGTCCACAGAATAAAGTGACTTACTGGTAGTGGTGGATCTTACAACTTCTGATATCACCACGTCTTGTGTATTCTGTTCAATATTTGCTTCTGTGACAAATGTGAAATGTTTCTCTTCTTTAAGGGTTGTTGTTGATGTAGTCTTAATTGTTGTCATTTCTGTTGTCACTGTTGTTTCTTCTTGTGTTGTTGTTTCAAGCAAAGTTGTTGATTCTATGACAACTGGACCCTCAAATACACTGAAAAAAATGTTGTATATTTAAAACATTTCACAAAAGAATCTGAATTGCTCATTTTTTAAACAGTTTTTAAATATGTAGAAAAAACAGACTGTTCCATATCAATAAAACACTATATAAGAGATGCTTTACTTGAGAAAGAACTCCACATTTGATATGTAAAACAGACAGGACTTACCCAATAACTCCTAGCCTGTTACATGTACAGTTCACATGGAATCTGTCAGCCATGAATTCTGGAGAGGAACTCACACAATCATCTTTGGTCCAGTTTGACCCCATCCACATATTACACTGTAACAGTAATATACTATCAGTAGATATAACATCTTGTTGAAGTGAGATGAAACAGATGAATTTCCTTTTTCATTACATGTTTTATTTAATCTTCAAATATGGACAAAGTTGCTTCAAATGTTCTTTTGGCAATTTCATACATTAGGATAAATAAATCAGTTTCAATAGAATAAATTGCATAATTATGCTTAAGTATGAAATTTCACTTAAGATGTCCTTCAACTTTACCTGAAGGGAGTAGGCACTTTCATTATAATTCCCTGTGATAGGGACCTGTACAGTAATAGGTACTGATAAGCCTTCCACTGTCATCAAGTCATGGGTCGTAGGGTTAATCATTTGGAGTGAAATTAGGTCACTGCGTCTAACAAGGTCAATAGCAAAACGTTGAGGTGATGTAGCAGTTACCATGTCGACCATCATTTGCCCCGAAGTGAAGCACGCTCCGTAACATTGTAAGTCTGCCGAGCAGTTCCAGTGGTGATATACGTCACTGATCTCAGCACCGTACATTACCTATGTAGACAAATAACATACAGTGTACTATTTATTGATACTGTACATTTGTGAAAATTTTGCCCCTGTTACATATATAATAACCTTCTTCAAGGCAACAAAGCTGCCATCATAGTACTTTTGTTTATGTGCTCAATCTTACCAAGAGTACAGTACACTACACACATTTATCTTCCCCATCTAACCAAGAGTACAGTTCTTATTGTTATCTGCTCAGTCTAACTAGCAGTCCAGTACTTATTGTTATCTGCTCGGTCTAACTAGAAGTCCAGTACTTATTGTTATCTGCTCGGTCTAACTAGGAGTCCAGTACTTATTGTTATCTGCTCGGTCTAACTAGGAGTCCAGTACTTATTGATATCTGCTCAGTCTAACTAGTCCAGTTCTTATTGTTATCTGCTCGGTCTATCTAGGAGTCCAGTACTTATTGTTATCTGCTCGATCTATCTAGGAGTCCAGTACTTATTGTTATCTGCTCGGTCTAACTAGGAGTCCAGTACTTATTGTTATCTGCTCAGTCTATCTAGGAGTCCAGTACTTATTGTTATCTGCTCGGTCTAACTAGGAGTCCAGTACTTATTGTTATCTGCTCGGTCTAACTAGGAGTCCAGTACTTATTGTTATCTGCTCAGTCTAACTAGGAGTCCAGTACTTATTGTTATCTGTGCTCAGTCTAACTAAGAGTCCAGTACTTATTGTTATCTGTGCTCAGTCTAACTAGGAGTCCAGTACTTATTGTTATCTGCTCAGTCTAACTAGGAGTCCAGTATTTACATAAGCTGTCTGGCTGACTGTACAGTTTTCACATGTGACCGGTATCATCTCTGTGGCCAGCGTCTCCGTGGTTCTCTTCTGAACTCTCATTGTGGTGAGGTCATTATCCACCACTATAGCATCCTCAGCATAAGTTATCCCTGCACACACACCTGCCATTTTTTTTAAAAATTATTATGTGTAAGTAAATTAAAATTATTAAAAACAAAACTTACTTTTTCACATTAATCATCAATATTTCATGGAGATCTTTTACCAGTAATAATATTCATTTAGCTTCCATTCCAAAAGACGTAGTACAGTGTACTTATTCCTTTGTTCAAATAATGTATATACACTTCTTTCACTGCAGTTTCAACTTTGCTAGTTTCTTGGCCAAAATAAATTGGGAAAAAATGTTATATATATATATATATAGCCTCTCCTATGGCTTGTGGTTGGTACACAGATACTTTAAAATCATCTAATTCTATAGAATAATGTTTCATTAATGATTACCAATCTTAATATTGTCTAGAGCTGTCAGATAATCCTTGGCTTCTTGTGTAGTTATCTGCTCCTCACTTTTACCCATGTGTAACAGAGAGTAGCTTGTCAGAATTGTCTCCCCCTACAACAAACTGACACTAAAGCCTGCACTTACAGATCAATATATAGCATAAAATTTCATCAACACAGTTGTCAGTGATGTAATCTCAGATTCTGACATTGGGCGTTTAACTGTGACAGTTGTCAGTGATATTACCTCAGATTCTGATATTAGACAATTAACTCTCACAGCTGTCAGTGATATTACCTCAGATTCTGACACTGGACAATTAACTGTCACAGTTGTCAGTGATATTACTTCAGATTCTGATATTGGACGATTATCTGTCTCAGTTGTCAGTGATATTACCTCAGATTCTGACATTGGTCTATTAACTGTCACTGTTGTCAGTGAGTTGGGATCCACAGCTCTCCTTTTTCTTTGTCCACCTGTTCATAAAAAAATCACAGTTTTTTCCCTTTATTTCTAAGTAAAGGGTTTGAGATCAACTGAACACACTAGGGGTGGAGGTTTATGAATAAAATCTCTGTGGACCTGATAACAGTTATGTTTTAAATTTTGATTTCTAATCAGCATTTATATCAGTTGAAGTGGTCAATTTGGCCTGCCTGTAGCCGGTTCTTTGGGAAAACACTGAAATCATTCTTTCATCAAGATATGATCCAATGCAATCTTGTCCTATTTTGATCACTTGTGTGAATTAATGACAATAATAGGTCATAAAATTACAGCAATGAAGAGTTAGGTTCACTGTTATCTATGGACCGGTTAATCAGCTGTCATCCTAGGTCTACTTAAACTGACATGAAGTAGACAATTCATACTTTTGTTACCTAAGAAAAAGTTCCTTCTTAAAGTCTAGGTATCAGAGAACAGGCTTTGTGAAAATGCTTTTGAACTTTACAGAAAAATAGTGTATTTGAGTACAATCAACAAAAAATTAAAGCAACAGAGCACATTGTTTTAAGTACATCAAAATTTACACACATATCCTTGATATCAAAGGGATATAAATCTATTTTCAACTTAACAAGGTGAAGCTTCTTTAAAACCAGCATTATTTAGCTGTAACCTAGATTTAGTGATCTTTCTTGACCTACCTTGACCTGGCTGTGACCTGACAGTAGATGCCAGCTGATTGGCCTTTAATAGCCCCTCCCCTCTCACTTTGTTGGTAAGCAAGCCTCCTTCAGCCATCGGCTTCAAAATTGTGTTGGCAGTGTCCATAACAGTTACAGCTTCCACTGGAGCAAACCTGGAAGACAGAATAACAGTAGTAATTTTTTAAAGTGTCAACCAATGGAATATCATGTGTCATCATAATGTGATTTACTCCAATTGCTACAGTGCATAATGTTATAGTTCCGTCCAGGACTTACTCTGCAGAAGAGGAGGACAGGAGATTGTAGGCAACATCATTCATAACCCCACCCAGAGCCTGCGATTCATTCCTGTCTCCCATTAATGAGGTCAAGGACACAGCCATACCAACAGCTTTATCCATATCTACAATGTAAAAATAAGAAATATGCATGTAAAAATAAGAAATATGCTTTACTTTGCTTGTTTAAAAGTGTCTGCGTCCCCAGAACACAATAATTTTCTTTTACAGACAATACATTTGGTGGTGTTATTTGGTGTTACAAAACTGGAGAAAGTTTGACACATCAGTAAGGAAAGCTGGTTCACAAAAAATTGAATCTTTTCATATACATCACAACATACATGAATAATTTTCCAGTGTTAATAAATATACTTCTAGGTTTCAAAACTTTCAGGGAACAGTTATTTAAATTTTATTTACAATGTTTCTCTACCATAATCCTCGCTGATGATACCTGTCTTCAATACCTGGGTTCAATACCTGTCTCAACACCTTTCTGCAGTAGTTTGTGACAACACTGACAGTGTGATCATACCTGTCTTCAGTAGTTGTGCGACATCACCGACAGTTGTATTTAGCTCTGCCTCTGACATCTCTTTCTCACTGACATGAATGGTGCTAGCAACTGTGTGGATCACACAAGCCTGCTGTAGGTCACAGGTCTCAATGTGAACCATGAACTCTCCTGTTAATTAATCATTTAAAGCAAAGTGTCAAACATATACTGGGAATCATCCTTATTCATGGGAGGTAGATGTTCTTGGGTAACCAAAATTTTACTGGTTTGTGGGAATGTAATTTTGTGGGTAAATTGTATGTTTTATCAAGATAAAAAACTTTACTGTGCTCAATGTACATGTATGTGATTTTCAATGTTCATGGGGATGAAAATTCCTAGGCAAGGATTTCCCACGAATTCCACGAACAATGATTCCACAGTACATAAATTACTAAAAAGAATAAATTTTTTCCAAACTTGAATAAGTCATTTAATATCGAATAAATAAAATTTTTGAGTCATTTGCTATCTGACATACTGCTAGCGGTTTCTACACAATACTTTTGTTTCACCCAAATCAGTATATATAGCTACTTTACCTGTGCCCAGCATTAGAACATAGGAGACCACATCAGTCATGGATCGAGCATTCATTCTGCAAATTTTCTTCTCTCCAACCTTCTGTGTGTGTACATAAAAAATAACTTTGTCCCCTTCTGGGTCTATCCAACCCTCCCCAAACATCACCTCAAACTTGGTCGACAAAGCTGTGCCATTTAGTGGGGAAATCTGTAAATTTAATGAATTCTTTTTTTAAAAAAAAAACACTTTAGAAACTACTCTCCATCTTGAAATCATTACTGAATTTAAATATAAAAATTTTCAAAGTCAATTCCAAAATTTAAAAAAAAAAAAAACAAAATGAGAGGGAAAAAACTAAGAGTTCTCTGAGTATGACCTTACCTTGACCTCTCCTATCATTGGAGGTGAGTTAACAGTAACCTTGACCTGTTCTGTTCTACTGAGCATGCTCTCCCCAGCAACGGCCGTAATCTCTAGAGGAAACATTCCACCAGAGGGCAGGCCTTTATCCAAATAGAGTGAGAAAACATAATTTCTGAGGGGTTCATTGATTTCCTGCACTAGCCTGCTGGGGTGGGAGGTATAATTCTCCAGTAACACATAGTCATATCCTGTGAAAAAAAAGTCTGAACTAATCTTCTAAGCTTCCTTTTAGGTCTGTGGTCATTTCTTCTCATATGAAAGACTTGCTTGTGGTTACAAGAATGAATTTCATAAAAAATGGGCAGAATTTAACACAAAAACATAATTGTGCCTTTAGTGAAGGCACAATAAAAAAAAAATCTGTAAACAATCATTTAACTGACCCTCAGTAATTATCCCTACCCTAAACATTTTTTTAACCCATTCAAACGACATTACCCTCTACATGTCCACACTCCCAGAATATTTTGACAGGATTTTTGTTGTATGTAGAGATAACACTACTGAGTCTGATGGGTTCCCCTGAGTTAACAGTGAGATCTGTAGTGTCCATGATAATAAGAGGTGCACGGTTGTCAACTATCTCCACCACAATGGACTTAGAACTGGATCTCTTTCCTTTCATCATTGTTACATTCCAGATGTATCTGTAAAACGAAATTGTACTGGTCTTCAACATAAACAAGGAGCCATAATGATAATAAATCTTTCCTATGGGGGTATATTTTACCTGTGGATTTCACTTAAGAGCCCTCTATACACTGCACATGAAGGAAACTTTTGAAACTTTTTTTTTTTGAATTTTTTATTTTCACTAAAGCCCACACATGGGGTATGTTAGTACAATAAGAGTTTAACAATTGAACAAATCAACATGTGAACAGTTAACATAATGAACTACAAAAAGATCTTTGATATGGACAGTACTGACGGTTGTATAAAAAAAATCGTTTAATGAAGGAAATTCTGTGGTATTTTTATGCAGATAGAGTCATCTCCCCTTTGTTCAAGAATAAAAAAAAAATTAAATGTACAGTTTATTACTTAATTTATGATCATATCAAGCATTCATAACATTATAATAGGCCAAGATGAATATACTGAACACTTCATTAGTAGGTATTTTGCCCACTTAACTAAGCAATATTAATTTCTGTTCATCAGTACTTCATTGTCTTTGAACATTTTTCCTGGGGGGTAAAGACAAGGTACCCATGTTGAAAATGTGACAGATAAGCTCAACATTTACACCTTTAGACACTATAATTTTCTAAGTGTCCAAAAAATATTTTCCTCTAGTGTATAAAGGGTCCTTAATTAAGAATAGTTTTGGCTTGAACATAATGCATGAGGGTAGGGCAGGGGGTGAAAATACTGTTGAGGATGGGGCAGGGGGAGTCAGTTACCTTGAGGAAGGCAGGGATGTGTCAATACTGAAGGTGGGGTGAGGTGTCAGTATTGTTGGTTGTGGATTAGGGGATGTCAGTATTGTTGGGGGGGTGGGGGTGGCGCAAAGGGCATCAGTATTGTTGAGTGTGGGGCAGACAGTGCCATTACATTACATGTACCTGCCAGTGGACAGCATATTGGGAGGGATGGTCAGTGATGGGGTCTGTGGGGAGCTTGGTCTGACCATGGACTCTAACATCACCTCTGACTCGCCTCTCTTGATGTAATAAGGCACTCCTGGTATGGACTCCTGCAAGACATCCAAATTGTAAACAGATCAGAAAGTTTGCACAAGCTGCATTACAAAGTACATGATTTAAACGAAATGATTTAAGTTATAAAGATCAACTATGTAAACTGACTTTGGCACAGGCCCAGTAGAACCTGGGTTTGTCTGGTATGTTGTCTGGGTCTGAAGAACGGGAGGCATCCAGGGTGATTGCCACTGTAGGGAGGGACTGTATATATGGGGGGATCCTGACCTCTAGGGGTTGACTTAGGGTGCTGAAGGTCACAGAAGCCTCAGCTGACACAGACTCATCATTCTGTTTGAACACTGTATAAATACTTTATTTAATTAACAGTATTTTGCATAATTTCCCTTCCCCTTTTCAATAAGAAATAATTAACATGGATATGTACAATTATGTTCTATTTTCAATTCTCTTTACCTGTGACAGTGATAGTGTAGCTAGATCCTCCCCTGAGAGATCCCCTCCTGATGACAGCAAATGGTAGTTCCATCACTGATGCTATCACCACGTCTGCACTGCTGCTGGTCCACTTATACAGGAAGCTTGTCTATAAACAAAAACAAACAACAAGTACGAGTTTATTACACATCTTTTAAAAAATAAAATACACTTTAAATGTATCTTGGCATCGTATTCTTTTGATTTGATTTTTCTTCCTCAAAAGTAAGTCAGGAGTTTTTGTTTTAGATAAGGAATGAACAGATGATTTGCAGCATCAGTTTGACTTTTTAAGGATAAGATTTAAAAAAAAAAACTCTTGGTTACATTGTAAAATTACTTATTTTCACAGGGTCAAATTTTTCATGGTTTAAGGAAATATTGGTTCATGGGGATTTGATTTCATGGTTGAAAAAGTATTGCCTGATATGTATGAAATTTTACATTTTTGGAGGACATCTTCTTGGTTCTCTTCTTACCATGAAAACAACAAAAATTAAACCCCCATGAAAATTAGTGATATCACAGTACATTCATCATTAAAACTATGAACTATAACATGTTAATGAATTAATCAATTTTATTAATTAAATCTATAGCTAAATTGTATACTATAAATTCAGAATTCTATATAAAAAAAGCATCCTGATACATGTTCAAATGTACCTCCTCCATATTGATTCCACTACAAGCAGAGGGAGTGACCATGGCAGCCATTTTTAGAGGTTTCTCAGGATCAGGGTGTTTCCTTGACAACACCTGTAGCTGGACACTGATTGGTTTAACACCTTGTGACCTGGTCACATGGGAAGACACAGATGTGAAGGTTAGGTCTAACATGTTTGTGACTACAGCAGTGAAAACATAGGTGGATCCAGGCACAATCTGCAAAAATCATCCAAATGTTGAATTGAAAAATTACATATGGTATCAATTAATTTAGTGTCTTCAGGGGACCACCCTGTTAAGGCTCTTAACAGCCAGAAGTAACATCTTCCAAGAGAAATTAAGTTCTAAAATGAGTAAGGTTTCTACAGATGAATTTTTGCAAATTAATCTTTCAGATATCTCTTTCAGAATAAGTGTCTCAGCCTACATTAAGGTAGCAAGCATTTTGCAATATTGATTGACCAAAAAAAAAAAGAAAAGAAAATTTTTATCTCGTTATTACGACTTTTTAATTTTTTTTTTATTTTCTTATTTGACCCTTCTAGACTTTTGTAAAAAAGAAATAACAAACAAAAAGAAAAATTCTAACAATCAACCATATGTTTCCCCACCAAAGTAAATTCTAGTTACCCAGTACAGACTGAACCTACCACAATTAAATCTTTATAATAGAAAAGCTTTTCCTCTGCGTTATTACCTCAGATCCATGTCCAGTAAATCTCCATTGAGAGGCTGGCATATCATCCAGTCTTCTTTGTAGATCATTGACATCAGATAAAACCAATGCTGAAGGGTTGCCTTCAAAAACATAAGTTCACACACTGAATAAGCTTCAAAATACATTAAGCAATACATCATATACACCTTTTTAACATCTTTAAACTTTACACAACCTATATTCCAAACCTTCTTGTAAAGACTGAAAAAAATCAACGAGTATTTTCAAACACAAATGTGCCAGCCCTGTTTGTAATTGTAAAAGGTTCAAAACAATGGCAGAGAAGCTTAACTTACGCAAGGGAAATAAGAAAGCACTTCTTCATCATTCTAGTCTTCTTTGTTAATAACGGAAACCTTAAGTATGTTTACTCCTGTTAGTCTGCTGGTTATAGTATAATCATATGTTACAGTTCCTTACTGTCATTAGAGGTTACAGTCCAGTTGAAGACAAAGTCCACACAGCCTAAACTGCCTGACTTTCTAAGAAAGAGTTCAAAAGGGTCACAGCTGCCAATCACTCCTCCTCCAATAAGATCTGCACTGATCTGCATCTGCAAAGTGAAAGAAGAATGTGAAAATTATGCACTTTAGTTCAGAACCATAGCACACCAACCCCCTTTAGTAAATGCATATTAAGAATATCTGTATCTTGAAGATGACATTTTCATTAACAATAGAGCTATGATAAAATCCTAAATACTGGTTGTATGCTTTTAAAACAACAACTTATTATTCATATAATAAAAAAGCTACCACATTGCGATCTCCAGGGAGGACGGTCGTTAACACAAATTTTCTGTTTTTATGGTAGTGCCAGATCAAAACAAGATGTGTTTGTGAAATACTGATGCCCCCATATTGCAACTTATAGCAAAGGTTAAACTTTTTCAAATGCAAATCAAATATGTTGGTACCCAAAATAAGGTCTTGTCTCAAGGAATATATCTGTGAAATATGAAAGCCCTAGCAGCAACCATTGAATAGATATGAAAAAGGTTTTCAAAAGTAAGTCAAACATCAAGGTCAGGTCAAATGGTCAAAATTAATGGTGCCCAGGGAAAGACCTTCTCACAAGAAATACACATGTGAAATATGAAAGCCGTAGCACCAATCGTTCAAAAGTTATGGCCAAGGTTAAAATTTTTCAAAAGTAGGTCAAACTCCAAGGTCAAGGTCAATGGATTACAATTGTTGGTATCCAAAGGAAGGTCTTGCCACAAGGAATAGACATCTTAAATGTGAAAGCCCTAGCACTAACTATTCAAAAGTTTTGGCAAAGGTTTAAGTTTTCCAAAATTAGGTCAAACTCGAAGGTTAAGTTCAAAGGGTAAAAGTTGTTGATATTCAAAGGAAGGACTTGTCACACGGATAACATATGTGAAGTTTTAAAGCCCTAGCACCAACCTTTCAAAAGTTACGGCCAAGATTAAAGTTTTTCAGAGGTAGGTCAAACTCCTAGGTCAAGGTCAAAGGGTCAAAGTTGTTAGTATCCAAAGGAAGGTCTTGTCACAAGGATAACATATGTGAAATATGAAAGAATACATACTGTACATGTATGTGAAGTAAGAAAGCCCTGGCACGAACTGTTCAAAAGTTATTGCCAAGGTTTAAGTTTTTCAAAAGGTCAAACCCCTAGGTCAAAGTCAAAGGGTCAAAGTTGTTGGTATCAAAAGGAACGTCTTGTAACAAGGATTACACATGTGAAGTATGACAGCCATAGCACCAATTGTTCAAAAGTTATGGCCAAGGTTAAAGTTTTTCAAAAGTAGGTCAAACTCCTAGGTTAACGTTAAAGGTTCAAAGTTGTTGGTATCCAAAGGAATGTCTTGTCACAAGGATTACACATGTGAAGTATGAAAGCCCTAGTATCAATTGTTCAAAAGTTATGTCCAAGGTTAAAGTTTGGTAAAATTTTGCAAAACTGGGTCCAACTACAAGGGGAAGGTCAAAAGGTCAACTATGATGGTACCCAAAGAAAGGCCTTGTCACAAGGAATACACATGTGAAATATGAAAGCCATAGCTCCAACCAATCAAATATCACAGACAGGGTAAAAATTATTTACCCCCGAATCTTCGATACGGTGCATAAAAATTTTTAATTATCAACAAAATACAAATTTTACTAATAATAACAATAATAATAACAGAAAAAGAACAAGGTAGCTGACTCAAATGTACTTACAATGTATCGATAAATTTGTATTTTTGTTTTTTCAACAAAATCATGAAATTCTATCCCCTGACAATTAATGGAACTACCACATTTCTGCTGCCCATGGCTCTAAATTACCTACAGAAACACTTTTTCATGAAATACAAATGAATTTAAGTAGATTACCTGTTAGCTTGATAACTGAATTCAAGTAGATTACCTGTTCCTTTAGTTACCTGAATTTTAGTAGATTACCTGTTCTTTTGGTGCCTTCACCAGGATACTTCCTGATGCAAATGAGGGGAACTTCTCCTCTGAGAACATTTTAAGGATGGTTGAGTTGGATATCAGCAGGTGCTCTCCAGGCCTAAGAGAAAACTCCCCTCTTTTCAGTAGTACAATAAGTCTGTTACCCATAAAGTAACATTCAGCATCTGAAACAGTCAAGCTTCATATATTATATAAATATAAAAATTAATGAAATGAATTTTGAAATGAAAACTCACTTTGTCAAAGTTGACAATTCTACTTTTGAAACAGAAAAAAAAAATAATGAAACATCTGCAAGCAATTCTATAGAAATATGTGAAAGATGGATGTAAATGAACTGGTTCCAGGACCATAAAACTTTTTTCCCCATTTCTATTTCCCCACCATATTTAATATGTCTCAAGTTTGTGGGTTTGGGTTGGGAAGCCCTGGATTCCCCAAACTAATTTCACAAAATAGAGTCATAAAACTTGGATGAGTTCACTTTAACTCTAAGTCTCCCCATCCCTTATATCCTATTGTAGAAGTAAGAACTATGTCCTTTTTTTTGTCCTGGAGCCTGATATCATTCCTTCTTCTAAAACCCTATAGGTTCCCAATCTGATCACTCACTTTCTCCAAGCTTCTGAAAACTTGTTTCCTCAAATAAATCACTGCAGTTTTTAGGCCCCTCCACAGAAACATCAAACAAGACTGTCACTGAGCAGTACATCTTATCAAACCTCGCAGACACCAGCTTAGGGGCAGGAGCTCTCACAAAAAGCTTCACATATTTCAATCTTAAAAATATAAATTAATCTAAAATAAACTTGCAAGAATTTTTGTTTTTAATGATATAGTATAGTTATTCAAATTATCAGCCATACCAGAACAGGTTGATACAGAACTTTTAAGTTCTTCATTAGCTGCTTTTAAATATACATATTTCTGAACATCATATACATATAAAATAATAATAATAATAATAAAGAATTGAAATACAGTTGAAGTTTGTTATCTTGAAAAACATCTAAAATGCCATGAATATGTCAAATTGAGCTGGAGGTTCCAGCCACTTTTTCTTTAATGTATTTTAACTTCAGTATCTCAAATCCTGAGGAGGTTTGACTGTACCTTTAAACATTCATCTTGTTAGCTCTTAAAGACATGTTTTACTAACCCTGGAATTAAATATTTAGTAATTGGCTCCAATAGCACTGTTAGGTCATAGGGCATAGGTCTGGTGACCTTTGACATTTTCTTCAGGTCACACTCACAAGATGATTCATCTAAACGTTTGGCTGGAAAAATCATAAATCCAGATGGTTCAAGTTTTGTTGTGAAGCAGCCTATGCCCCTCTCCGTATAAGGACATTTGATAGCACATTTAATATAGCCAGACTTGTAGAAAGCAGTTCCCCTCACAGTTACCTACAGGACAAAGTTATTATCAGTTACACAGTTTATCTGATAGTTGTCCAAAAGTATATACAGTATTAGATGTAATTTTAAATTGTGGCATGCGCAGCTGAGAGTCCATTTGTTTCACAGCCCATCTAAATTATTTGATAAATAAAGGACTCTCCCCTGCAACTGTGCCCCTTTTAAAACTAACAAGTGTGATGATGCCCACAAGGTTCTGCAATTTAAAGGAAGAAGAAGATGAAGATATCCTAAAAACAGATGCATTTTTTCAACATTGGATTATTTTAGCCCCACCCTGGAGCCTAAACACAAAGTTCAGGGGCCATACACATCATAGTATTGGTAGAGGGTTTTGTGTTTATTATCATCATCTTGCATTTAGCTAGTCTTTTTGATAATCAGAAGTCTTGATCTGACAAGACTGTAGCTCTACTGGTTTGTACTTATAACAAGGGAAGAGAAAAGTAGCACTTGGATTTGAAGGTTTGCAACAGCAATAAACAGAACTAGATATCATTGAGATGGTGGCCATCTCAAAGGGCCCCGCTTTCAGCAACAAACATGAAAATGTAAGGTAGCTGAAAAGGGTTTATTTTGAAGAGGAACACTTGTGTACTATTAAGGGGTGTGTTGTTTGAGTATAAAGGGTTTCTATGTCATCCCTGTTATAATAAAAAATGGCACAAAAATCACGAGTGCTCCATACCCTCTATCAAAAAGTGGCACAAAAATCACGAATGTTGCATATCCTCTATGAAAACTGTTGCATATCCTCTATCAAAATATGGAAGGAAAATCACAAACGTTCTGTACCCTAAGTCAATTGGTAAAGTTTGAGGCTGACTGGACTTAAGAGAAAGAAACCATGCGCCGAACAAAGATTTTAAACAGAGAGGCTATTTTTGACCTTGACCCTTGATCTAGAAACTTCGTTCAGGGTCAGTGCACATCCATTGACCAGTCGCACTCTGAGAGTGAAGTATGAGTCACATTGAACCAAGAGAAGAGAAGATATGCTCCGGACAAGGATTTTTCATATAATTCTGCTATGACCTTGACCTTAGACCTAGAAACATGGTTCAAGGTCACTGCACACCCTTTACCCAAAGACACTCTGTGGGTGAAGTATGAGCCAGATTAGGCCAAGGAGAGAGAAGATATGCTCCGGACAAGAGATCTCGGACAGACAGACGGACGGACGGACAGACTGATCACTATAGGGCGCCTGCAGAGCTGGGCCCTAATAATGACCCTTGGTTTAGTTTCTTTTTGTGGCAAGATTTATTGCAATCAGACTAAAATTGTAGGAGAAAAAAACTTTTGAATGTTACAGAAATTTCTACTTTTAGTAACCATGGCAATATTCTTCATTGAAATCAAAAATTGATTCACAGAAATATGTATATTAGTGTAATCTACTTCTGTGCCAAGTTAAATATTAAAATCACACCAAAACTGTAGGAGTAGTGTTTTGAAAGTATTTCACAAAAAATTCTATTTTTAGTAACCATGGCAACATCATTCATCAAAATCAAACATAGGTAATCAAAGATTACGAAGCTCACCTCGACGAGGGTTATCTATAAGTATGGCAAATCTCACATCATATTTTATTTCTAGTTAGTGTTCATCCCAAGATCAATATCCATACAAGTTTGCTTTAAGTACAACTTATAGTTACTTGGAAATAGACCTGTTAAAAAAACTTTTAACCTGTTGACTAATCAAGAAAATTTTGAACATCCAAAACAAGTCTGGAAGTTTTCATCCTTAGATGCACCATCCATGCAAGTTTAATCATAAAATGCCATAATAATATATAGCTACTCCTAAACATTACCCAGGTCACTCATCTGGAAAATATAGGTCAGATTCAGAATCCAAAACAAGTCTGAAAGTGTCCATGCTAAGATACATCAACCATGCCAATTTGATTAAAATATGGCTAAAATTCACTCATCTGGAAAATCTAGGTCAGATTCAGCATCCGAAGCAAGTGTGGTAGTGTCCATTCCTAGATGCACCATCCATGCAAGTTTGGTCCAGGTAGGGCTTATAGTAACTTGGGAATAGACCTGCTCCAAAAACTTTAACCTAGTCACTCATCTGGAAAATCTAGGTCAGGTCCAGCATCCGAGGCAAGTGTGGTAGTGTCCATCCCTAGATGCATCATCCATGCAAGTTTGGTCCAGGTAGGGCTTATAGTAACTTGGGAATAGACCTGCTCCAAAAACTTTAACCTAGTCACTCATCTGGAAAATCTAGGTCAGATACAGCATCCGAGGCAAGTGAGGTAGTGTCCATCCCTAGATGCATCATCCATGCAAGTTTGGTCCAGGTAGGGCTTACAGTAACTTGGGAATAGACCTGCTCCAAAAACTTAAACCTGGTTACCCATCTGGAAAATCTAGGTCAGATCCAGCATCCGAAGCAAGTGAGGTAGTGTCCATCCCTAGATGCATCATCCATGCAAGTTTGGTCCAGGTAGGGCTTATAGTTACTTGGGAATGGGACTTGCTCCTAAAACTTTAACCGGGACGCCGACGCTAATGCCGACGCCAACGCTGGGGGTATAACATAAGCTCATCTCGACTTCGTCGAGGTGAGCTAAAAACTGATATAATAGGGTTATTGAACTTATGTTGATGAATATTGGCATGAGTTGGCTGTTCAAATGCATGAGCTTGCGAATGCATTTGTACAGCCAATGAGTGCCAATATTCACCAACTAAAGTTCAATAACTCCTTTATTATATAGATAAACATTTCCCATTGATTAATATTAATAATAATGATTAAATAACTCAAAATGAATGAGAATTTTTCAGTATTGTTATTCAAATTAAAACTGTCCAATATCAGCATCTTACCGTAAGTGTTCATATCACATCATTAGAATGACCCTACTAAGCACTATGATTTACTTATTGAGGGCAAAAAACAATTGCAATAGGTCATCCATATGACTAAGTTAAACATCTTAAACATCTATTTATTTGAACTGCTTTCCTTCATCTACATATAACTGTATTTTGACCTTTTAACCTGTCTCCTTTGACCTGACCTTACCTTGGTACCCTGTTGCACTTTGATTTGTTGAGGGAAAACCATTCTGACATTGGCAGGGCCAAACACAACTATCTTAGTAGTCTGTGGCACTTTTATGGTGTGTATGCCTTCATCATACGTAAGACATCCTATCATGTAAACACCACTGTCGTAGACTGTCAGCTGACGAGTCAGAGCCACTATTACTCCTGTATTGTTGTCATAAGATAATACCGACATTGGTATATCCTGAAAAGCAAAGCTGAACATGAAGTAACTACCATTCAATTGTGGTAGATGGTATTAATCTTAAAAAGTGTACATTGGTGGGCGTGGTATGTTACATATCTTATGTAGAGTACATTTTGTGAGAGTGGTATTGTACTGGTAATGTATTGATTTTCTGTGGTGAAAAGATTAGTACATTTTCTGGGAGTGGTATATTTATAGATCTTATGTAGTATATATTTTGTGGGAGTGGTTTATGGTATAGATCTTATGTAGTGCACATTTTGTACGGGTGGTGTTTGGTATAGATCTTATGTAGTGTACATTTTGTGGGAGTGGTGTATGGTATAGGTTTTATGTACTGCACATTTTGTGGGAGTGGTATAAGGTGTAGTCCTTAGTTATGTATACATTTTGAGGGAGTGGTGTATGGTAATGTAGAGTACATTTTGAGGGAGTGGTATATGGAATTGGTTTTCTGTAGGGTGTATTATGAGATAGTTCACATTAAATTGTTTTTGATCCAATGTTTATGGTGGTAGTTGTACCAAAGAAATTCAAAAACAAGCAAAGAGATACATGTATATAACTTATTGGCTAGAGCTTTCAGAAATTGTTATTTTCACTCAATGTTAGGCATACTTATATTTTTTTGCAGACTGTTCCTGCTTAAATTATTACACTTTCAATGGTAATAACACCACTTTTCTAACTACAAGTTCAATAAAACATCTTTGTTTTACAATCCTACAATTCACAAAGCATTTTTTCCACTAATCATCTTGTTTACTCTCTTTTAACCAACCAAATTCCAGAATGATCTCTTAAACAAGCCACACTCCTGTACGGTCAATGCTGATGGCCGATTCTCCTTTTCCTCCTGGGCCATGGTGTAGGCGGTCATCTCCAGGGCCTTCTGTCCACTGGCTCCCAGACTTGTCTGATTGATATGGCCCAATCCCACATAACACTCTACAAACACAACAGACAATGCACTCAGTAAAAACTAACAGACATTAATTTCTACTTAATTTTAGAATTGATTAGATCATTCAGTCTCTAAGGTCAAGCAAGCACATATTTTTCGATATTTTTTGGTGTTTAGTCATTAATAGTTTTCCTTCAAATATATATATCTTTAAAACTTTTAAATACAGTGTCAGAACAGTAAGTCCCCTACCTGTCACATACATATAGTGTCAGAACAATAAGTCCCTACCTGTCACATACATATAGTGTCAGAACAATACGTCACCTACCTGTCACATACATATAGTGTCAGAACAACAAGTTCCTATCTGTCACATACATATAGTGTCAGAACAGTAAGTCCCCTACCTGTCACATACATAAAGTGTCAGAACAATAAGTCCCTACCTGTCACATACATATAGTGTCAGAACAATACGTCACCTACCTGTCACATACATATAGTGTCAGAACAACAAGTTCCTATCTGTCACATACATATAGTGTCAGAACAGTAAGTCCCCTACCTGTCACATACATATTGTGTCAGAACAATAAGTCCCCTACCTGTCACATACATATAGTGTCAGAACAATAAGTTCCTACCTGTCACATACATATAGTGTCAGAACAGTAAGTCCCCTACCTGTTACATACATATAGTGTCAGAACAATAAGTTCCTACCTGTCACATACATATAGTGTCAGAACAATACGTCACCTACCTGTCACATACATATTGTGTCAGAACAATAAGTCCCCTACCTGTCACATACATATAGTGTCAGAACAATAAGTTCCTACCTGTCACATACATATAGTGTCAGAACAGTAAGTCCCCTACCTGTTACATACATATAGTGTCAGAACAATAAGTTCCTACCTGTCACATACATATAGTGTCAGAACAATACGTCACCTACCTGTCACATACATATAGTGTCAGAACAACAAGTTCCTACCTGTCACATACATATGGTGTCAGAACAATAAGTCCCCTACCTGTCACATACATATAGTGTCAGAACAATAAGTCCCCTACCCGTTACATACATATAGTGTCAGAACAATAAGTCCTCTACCTGTCACATACATATAGTGTCAGAACAGTAAGTCCCCTACCTGTCACATACATATAGTGTCAGAACAATAAGCCCCCTACCTGTCACATACATAAAGTGTCAGATCAATAAGTCCCCTACCTGTTACATACATATAGTGTCGGAACAACAAGTTCCTACCTGTCACATACACATATAGTGTCAGAACAATCAGCCCCCGACCTGTCACATTTAAAGATCTAGAGAAGCTTCAGACCTTATGAGAAGAGAGGAGCTATATTTTAAATGTTCTTATTAATTTCTTTTAGATGCATTCATCTCTATAGTCTTCAATACCTATTTTCTTACAAAAATGTGTAAAATTGCTCCAAGATATAGAGATGTATATTGCTTTTAAATTACATCTCTGCCTCTTAAGTATCATAGTAAGTACATTGAGAGCTACGTTACCTTCAGATTGCCTTATTTCACCACCATTATGCTCACCTTTGTTATAGTCAGAGCTGTTCCTCAACAGACAGACATCACAGAAATCCATCACTGACTCCCCATAGGGAACCCCAGCACAGTCCACACACTCATCCTCTCCATCACACACCCCACATTGATCCTCCCCATGGTTTTCTGCCAGTGTTGTATTGCCTAGAACACAATGACCACACCTGAAAACAACACGTCAAATAGATTATTGATCTCTCTACCATGAACTTAATTATTAGCATTCTCAAAGGTGTCAAGTGAGTCTTACATGTACATATTTAAGCAATATGCAGATCAAGAAGGGGGTTGGATTACTGATCAGAACCTCCTACTCTTCATTTTGTAGGCTTTATTCTGTCTTTAGTTCCATAATGGATAATCAGAAACCCAAATCTTTGATCTTCCTACCCTAAATGTGTACATAGAATGTTGACAACTAACTTGTTAATGTAGGCGTCACTGTTTATCCTTCCATCACATTCCTGAAACAATGTCATCAGTTTCTGAACATCCACATTATTCCTAGAAAACAAGCATTGGACTCACAATTAAGGGACTGATAAAATAAACAAAAATCTATTGTAAATAATAGAAATTTTGACTCGATGTCTTACGGTAGACACATGCTGAGGGTACTGTCGTAGTAGTGAAGACCACATTGTCCCCTACAGTCCAGTCTGTGGTCCCTGGTCAGTCCCGTGTCCCCCTCTGTACAGTCCCCACAGGCATCAATCACAGCACCTGTCAATAAAATAACCATTACATATGTACAAATTCTTTGTCTTATCATAGGAAGCCACAGTCTTTGTTCTCAGAATAACTACTGGGTAAGCATAAAATACTCCCCCATGACAGCATGGTCAGTACCTCTTAGATATGAAAATACAAATCTACTGTAAAAATAACTATATAAATTAAGATCTAGGTTTACTTTAAGCATAAAATTATGTCCTAAGTTTATAGCTCATGTCCAATAACAAAAATTATTCTGAAGTAGAGACTTCATTCCTTCATTACCAATAATCAAATTTTTTTTTCAAAGGGACCTAATATTGGATAATCGGCTTTGTGATGCAATATTCTTGAATTTTACAAATCTTCTATATAAATATGACTGATTTGCTGTTCTTGAGAAGATTTTTCTTATGTATTCCTATGTAAAACTTTGTTTACTCATAGTGGCCCCACCCTACCCCCGGGGGTCATGATCTGAAGAGACTTGAATTTACACTATGTCACTGGAGGCTTTCATATAAGTTTCATCTTTTCTGGCCCAGTGGTTCTTGAGAAGATTTTTAAATGACCCCACCGATTTTTAATATTTCTCAATGATCTCCCCTTGGAAGAGTTTGAGGCCCTTCATTTGAACAAAGTTGAATCCCTACCCAAGGATACTCTGTGCCAAATTTGGTTGAAATTGGCCTAGTGATTCTGGAGAAGATGATTGTAAAAAGTTTACGATGAAGACAACGATGAAAACAGACAAAGGACAAATTTTGATCAGAAAAGCTCACTTGAGCCTTCAGCTTAGGTGAGCTAAAAACTGAGTAGATTTAATGTTTCAAGTTTACAGAGCCAAATAAGGCAGCCCTTGGGTACCTATCTCGTAACTTGACAATGACTAATTTCTGTACTCGGGATAAGTTGAACTTAAAGACTTAAATTTTCACCTGTTATAAATTTGATAATACATGTAAGTATACCTCCATTGAGATTTCCATTACAGTCCACACAATCATCGTATCCTCCACACACCCCACATAGATCCTCCCCTAACTGTGACCCTGGCTGTCCATCACAGCCTGCCTTGTTGATAAAGAGAGGGATGATCTCCAATGAGTAGGCACTGTGACCCCCTTCTCCACACATCTAAGAGTATATCATAAGTCATATACCAGTACATATATCACACAAAGTACTGTGACAATATATAAAGTTAAAAATCACATATCTACCAGTACATAAGTTACCTATCTCACATCCACCAGTACATAATATTATAAGTCACATATCACATACCTACTGGTACATAACAAGTCATACATCAAACATCTACCAGTATATATGTTTTATATCACACATCTACCAGTAAATAATTATCAAAGTAATACAGAAACTGAATATTCTAAAACTTTTTTTGAAATCATTTGCAAATATGTACATTTATGCTTGATACAATGTATTTTTATATTATATAACATACATTTTACCAGTTAATTAATACTGTATCTCTTTGATGACACACAGAACATTAATAAACATAGGTAATCAGAGATTACAGAGCTCACCTCTACAATTATGTTGTCTTTAAGTATAAAGGCAAGGTCCCAAACTAATAATATAGTAGTGTGCATCCCTGGATGTTACACTTAATATGCAATATTGGTCTGATAGGGCTTGCAATTACTTGGGAATGAATTTACCTAAAAACTTTAAACTAGTCACTTATCCAGAAAATGTAAGCCATATCCAGCATCTGAAGCCAGTTTGAGAGTGTTCATCCCACGATGCATCATCCATGCAAATTTGGTTCAGATAGCCCTTATAGTTTACTTTAACCTGGTCACTCATCTGGAAAATTTAGGTCAGATACAGCATCCGAAGCAAGCCTGTTAGTGTGCATCCTTAGATGCATCATCCATGCAAGTTTGGTCAATATAGGGCTTATAGTCACTTGGAAATGAGACCTGCTCCAAAAACTTTAACCTGCTTCAAGAACTTTAACCTTCTCCAAAAATATTAATCTGGTCATTCTTCAGCTGAAATTGCAGCCTCTGAAACCTTGACTGGTAAAATGAAACACACAACAAACATCCTCCATGCATCTCTGATTAATATAGACCGAAAAAATACTTGAAAAGAAATCTGCTCCAAAACCTTTAAACTGGGACGCGGACGCCGAGGGTATTACATAAGCTCCCCCAACTTCGTTGAGGTAAGCTAAAAATGCATAAGCAGAATAAATAATTATACATTCATGAATTTTACTGAATCAAATTTCTAACATTAATAACCTGCTGTTTCCCACAATTTCAAATTAGTACTTTTTAAAAATTCTCTATGAAGAGTGCCTATATTTAACTATTGTTTAAACCAGTCACGAAAAAGCCTAGTGGTAGGGCACTCGCTTCATGATCGGGAGGCCCAGGTTCAATTCTCATTCGCTGCTCAGTGTCAAACCTAAGAGGTAAATATAGGTAGTAATGTTCCTTAGTCAAGTGCCCGACACTAGAAGTGAGTCACAGGTCTTTCAGATAAGACCTTAAAAACCAAGGTTCCGTATCACGGTTGGCATTGGCATGATAAAGAACCCTCACTGCTCAATGGCCCTGAGTGCCGAGTATAGGTCTAAATTTGAAACCCTTCACTGGCATTAGGTGACATCTCCTATATGAGTGAAAAATTCACGAATGGGAGATTAAACAACAGTCAATCAATACCTATTGCTCAAACTTTTTAGCCATCCTTCAAGAAAAAAAAATTAATCACTTATTATATTTAGATTCCAAACATCCAGATCTATTGTTATCAGTCCCCCACATTCTTTTTTCAAAAGATTTAGATGAGAATCTGGGAATTTTTTTTTATATGGCATAAGAAGGAAAAGTATGTATGAAACTCAGTCATAAACTTTTATTCATTATTATTAATGAGGTGGCATTGATTTTAATACACTCCTTAAAATGACAGTTGCAAAAAGGTCCATGTCACTTTACATGGCTGTAAATTTTACCTTCATCATTGCTGAGCACCTCTGGATCAGAACATGACCCTGTGACTTTTGACTAGAGGTCAGGTCACTGCCATCCCAGGCCAGAGTGTACAGCTTGGTCTTCTTCAGAGCCTCCCTTGTGGACCAGAGATAACTGTATAAAACAGTACAGGTTCATCATCAGGTGATAATGATGATAAATATCTGTATAAACTACAAACATACATGTTCAAGTATACATATATATTGATAAATATATTCATTATAAAAAGTTTCTGAGGTTTCATTAATGTCTGTGGAAACCAAATTTCATGGTTTTGGCAAAAAATACAATTCTGTTGTTATATGAAATTGTGGATAGGTATTTCGTCCTATCCTTTAATTCGTAAACTCTGTAATTCTTTCATGGTCTGGCTCAACCAACAATGAAAACTGGTGTTCAACCAAAAAAAGATGAAACTGTAGTAAATCTTATTAATACATGTATTATCATTGCATATGAACAATTTCTTAAGTTTCTAAATACTTTCTTCCCCTCCCCAACACCCCCCCCCCCCCCTACAAAGTCTGAACTCTTAATATAATGTCATTCTTTTCAAAAACATTTACACAGAAGAGTAGCAGTAAATAATATGACCTTACCCCACAGTTGGTACAAACTTGAGTTTGTCTTTATTTGACAGCAGGACAGCACTAACGTTTTGCTGCAGATGAGGTGTCATTCGGCCTAAAACAGGTACCACCTTCCACCCATTACCATTATCATAATGCCAAGTACCTGAAAATTAGGTAGGAAATGCGAGATGAAAACAGATACATGTATATTAACACAAACTAAATCACAGAGACTGTGAGCAAACTTCAAAATAATATAATTTTCTGCATTCCCCCCTGAAGTCTTACCCAGTACATCTGAGACTGCTCCCAGTAGAGCTAACCCTAAAACATCCCCATCTTCATCTGTATAAACTAAATCACTTATCTCCCCCGCTGTAAACTCCCTGTCACCAGAGTACGGCTGTACTAAGACTGAAGACAAGGTGTCCATTGTTTTCTCTGGAGAAGTCAAATATGGGGCATTGTTTACAGCTATTATCTAAACAAAGAAAGAAAAATTTTCTCATGGTTTAGTCATAAAAATTGAACAATCTTTGGTGAAGTCTACAATTTAATAATAGTTACAGTACTGTAATGTCATGCATATATAGCACCATACATGAACGGACACTATACAGGCTATAGTCTGGTAACATATTACTGTAATTGAACATAAATTAGCACACTCAACATTTAGCATAATTGTCCTCTTCATCTGATCAGCGCAATCATAATTTAGTGCACTTGATTTTAAAAACCAACATTTATTGATTTAAGGTATTAGGGGTGTAATGGTCATGACCTTGAATATGACTAAATTCAGTTTAGTTATAATGGGCAACACTTCAGGCAATATTTCCCAAAGTTTCGTACAATTCTGTCCAAACATAATTTTTCTATACTTATTTTCATACCTGTACCCTCTAACTACTGGTGCACCTTTAATAGACAAAAGGTACAGATGTAATTTTTACCTCTACTCTAGTTAGTCGCAAACAGTTGAATGTTTCATGTATTCAGCTGCAACACTAAGCAGTACAGATTGCATATATGAATTCTTTTTAGTTCAAATTCATCAGGTATGATATATGAATACTTGTAATCGAGAGAACTTGTCTACTTTGAGTGACAATTTTGGCGATTTTTTTCATAAAACTGTTTGTAATATTCTGTCAAAGAAAAATATGGTAGGAAAGATCAATAAAAGAACAATATCAATTTTGTGTAAGGTGTGTTTGTGATAATATAACAACAAAAAAAATTTATTCCATCCACAATATTTATCTATATTCTGTATCATAGCGACGTACCCCTAAAAATTTAAGCCATTATTTTTTGTTAATGTCACGGGATATGCGATACTTAATGAAATAATGAGCATATATAAACAACAGGTTATTGTCATATTGAATACACTTCACTTTAGTCAGATTCATTTGTTCAGAAGATTGACCTCGTCACAGTGACCTTGACCCAGAGAAAGATTTGCAAAATGACCTATATTTTTGAAGCTTCACTGTGCATGAAGTTCTTTACAGATCAAAACATTACTATACAATGTAGACTAAAATATATACTGACAGAAACACTAATCAAAAGGTAAAAAAAAAACTAATTTGCTCCCACATGTATATAAAAAATATCAATAAAAAATATTCAAACCCCCCCCCCTTCTAAACAGTGAACTTATGTAAAAATAAATAAATTAATGTAAATAAAATAACAAAAATCACCCTAACCCAACCCAGAATAAATCATTCATTCCCATATCTAATATTATTTTTTTTTTCTTCAATGTTGTAAACATATTTACATTCTATTTTTTACCGATATATTTTGAACATCTCAGATATTTTACGTATGGACATTGAACGTCACTTATAAATTGCAGATTCTACAATGCACGCAATGCTTCCTATTATGTACATTTTTTTACCCCTCAAACGGTTTGCTGATATTGAGAGTATCACAAGAAATCGCAATGCGAATGTAAAGTTTTGAAGAAAGGTATACTTTCGAAAATGGTGCTATTTTTAGAAGTTGGAAAAACCCATGAAGTGTGCATTTGATGGTATCATCGTTTTTACTGCATATTTTCTATTAATAAAATATATTAACGTGTTTTCTACGTAATATCATATTTATTCTCTCCTCCGCTAAGTTATATTCCTTTTCTTTGGTGTATGTTTTATGTTAGCGTCCTAGGCCGTCTTGACGACACGCCATTTTTGTTTACGAAGTACAGTGTTCCGAAAACTGCCGATGTCAGACACCTCGGTAAATGCCGTCATTTTTACCGGAAATGGCGTATTACACCTCTAATACCTTAAATCATGTTTTAATGTGTTGCTTGAATTAGTGGCCAAGAAGCAGTGCAAAGAGGGCTAAAATTTGATTAACACTAAAAAAAAGTACATTTACAGTATAAATTTAAACTGAATTAAACTTAAATTACCATCAAAGTGAACATGAACTGATCTCCAGAATTTGTAGTCAGAAGAAAATGAACTTCTCCACTGAAAGCTGGATGTATTTTGACATAAAGTAATTTGGAAGTCCTTCCCTCGTCCTCCAAAACCACACCTTTTGAGGAAACTCTCCTCCAATGAGGTCCCACTTCAGTCTTTGTAACTAAGGTAGCCACTGGCAAGCCACGGGAATCCATAGGAACCTCATAAAGGGAGACTCGTAAAGGGAAGATAACTCTTTGTGCCATTGATTTCAAGCCTTCTCGGTAGATTTCCGTCACGTTCTTTACCGACACAATTTCCTTATCATACACAAATTTAGGAACTTCATCTGCAATTGAAGTTAGCTAGAATGTATCAGGCAGTAAATAACAGTAAAATGTTCAGACTTTGAAACCATACAACTGTAATGCAATCTAAGTTATTAAGAGCTAGGCAAAGATTACACATTTCCCAATAGAACAATCTCGTGTCAAATATGTCTCTCAGAAATTCAAAAGTCATCATTCACTTAAAATACAGAACAGAAAGAAATCCTCTAGAAATGAGAGCTAAATAAAAGTTTAATTTCATGAACCTGTAAAATGCTTTCTCAAAACATACATGTACATGTATATTATGTATATGACTTAATATTGTTCAGACACATTACATGTAAGTTGCATTGCTTTGAAATGCTCTTACTTTTTCATTAAATATTCCTCATTTGTCAAATGTAACTTCAAAGATTATTACGTCCAACTTGCACAAAATCTCAAAATTCGTATAAGATGCATCTATAATAATATTTCATCAACCTTTATGTTGAAAGTACAAAATCAGTATATTTTCTTCAAATCATTATACCTGATATATTGACATGAAACACCTTGTCCCATTCATCAAATATCCAGTGGGTCACACCCTCTGTGACATTTATGGAAGTCATCACCATGGAAACTGTAGGAGTAACAGTTTTGGGAATAGCAACAATTCCTATGTGATACTGGAAACCCATGGTAATTACTATAAAACAATTAAGAGGGATAATTTTCATTGATTCAACCTCTCCATGATTAATCTTACAACTTCATTTACTTTGGTGTTTATCTAGCTCTTTTCTCAAAAAACAAGGACCAAAATATCAATACACAGAATGGTAACATTCATTTGGATTAACCAGTTGACACCTTAAATTAAGATAATCAGCAGTGATATATTTACTGTCAGGTGGGAGGGAGAGAATTCTGCAGGTGACCACACCCGCCTCCTCCCCATCAGTAGTTACTGTGATCAGTTGGGTCAGGTCCACATCCATCTCACCCAGGGCTGTTCTCCCTACAGTGACAACAATGCAGGGCTAGTCATGTAAAAGAACTGCCAGCAACAGGAATTATGTTATTTAAGATGTAAAAAAGCAAGGTACAAATGTAAGGTTTACTTTTACCATTGCCAGAGATTTGACAATAAACTAATTAGCATCTCTATATCTCTATCTTTTATTTTTAAAAGAATCCTGACATTTCTCCCTTTTCTGTTTGAAATATAAGCAAATTTTCTGAAGGCAAGCATTAATAAATGCCCGTGCATCAAACCTGCATAAAAGCGCACTCCTGAATTCTGGTCACAGCTGAGTCTAACAGTCAACTGCTGTGGCAGCTTGAGACTTCTCCTTTGTGCAATGTACTCTGACAGTCTGAACTGTACAGCATCATAAACTGTGACTGCTTTGTCCACCAGAAGGAGGCGGTCACCAGCTGAGGTTGGAGAACTAGTTGAAGTTGGGAGAAGTCTGTCTGTAATCAAAGGTTTAAATTTTTTGTAAAATAAACTACATCTACATTTAATTTCTGATTGCATTTTTAAATCTTTTTAAAAATTTTTGCTGGATAAAGGGATTTTTGAGTTGTTTTTTCAGTATAGTGAGGTTGAAAAAAATACCTTCATTTTCTGTACACGTTCTCTCAACACAGCGAGCAGATGCTAGGCAGAAAACCTGGGGTAAAGCAAATTATGTCAATTTACAATAATCAATACAAAATAAAAAATACTTGTAACTTAAGACTTTTAGTTAATAACTTTTAGAATGATCAAAGAATATTCTTTATAGTCTCAAACTAGATATGACCATCTCAAAGTGCCCTGCTTTTAGCAATAAAGGACATAAGGGTAAGAGATCCTTTATCCAACGGCCCAGATGAAGCCAGATGGGGAAAATGGCAGAAAAAATATCAAGAAAAGAGTTTTACTGAGATTTGCTGTAACCTTGATCACTAGCCTAGAAACTGCACACCTCTACCCCCGGGCCCCTACGGGTGAAGTTTGAGCCAGATAGGGACAAATGAAAATGAAGCAACAGTTGGATGGACAGGCAAACAGACTGATCACCATAGAGCACCCGCAGAGTGAGGCCCTAGTAACATAAATCCTAATTCTGTATCCATTTGACAATATCAACAATATTCACAAGACTACAAAGCAATTTCATAAGTGATAAACTGCTTGCATTTTAAATTCAGAATAACTGACAATCATATTCATACGTGTAACCGGTTCTTGTAGAAATTAAAACTGCAAGATGTTATGGGGTTGGATTCTGTTTTTATTCCATGGAGATATTAGGTAGGAATTTTAAAAATCATACATATTTTAGATGATAATTTTTCAACCTTAAAATAACAACAAGACATAAGAACATAGACAACATTTCACATGCAAGCACATTCACTTTTCAACACAAAATGACCACAATTTAAACACATAAAACATTCATTTAGGCCATTACATAACAATTTATGCGAACACATTCAAAGGGCAGTAACTCCTTACAACTCTGCATGATTGACGAATACATTTCTGCAGATTGAAATGTTTACAATACTTTAAATATAATGTTAAACATACCAGCTTATGGAACCAAGTGATTTATCTCACAGGATGACTTTTAGAGCTACATGTATTTACATGATGACCTAGTTGATTAATATTAAGTTATCGAATCATTATTATTCAGAGCCAGATCTTAATTAATTTCAGAAGATCTACATGAACTGATTAAAACATAACTTAATGGCTACTACTTTACAATACCAATCTCAACTTTATAATTTTAGAACTTTCACCCTAGTACACTCATACTCATTTTTAACAAATTTAAATCAAAATACTTTTATTTCATTCGATCATTTATATCTTTAAGTTTATGATTATTATTTGAGTTTAATGAAGGGTTAATTTACTTACAGGTAATAGGTGTTTAATTCTCCAAAATATATCTAATTATAACATACTCAGACACACAGATCTATACAACCTTCTCAGACAAAATCAGCTCTGAAGGGAATCCAAAAACAAAGGTTTCCCGCCTGAATGGACATCACTGCTATAAGCAATAACAACTGACCAATAGAATTTATGGACATGGACAGTACCCTTATTCATAAATAGACTGATCCTTAAAACTACCTAAACCTATAGTCTTTGGGTTAAACCATTAATTAAATAGGGATGTTTAGGATTTTTAATTCATAAATAAATAACAATATATTAGAAATGTACATGCAGTGCTTCGAGTAAATGTATGAATGAATGAAATAATCAAAGTACTGATACAGTACTGAAAGACGGGGTCAAAAAATAAACTTCATTATTTTACAAATTTCATTACTGCGTGTTGGAAATTTTTTTCAGGGCTTTGATACCAACTAAAAATTTTTTATATTAATTTAATATTAACATTTTAAAATAGAACTGTGAAAAATAATATATCTGCGCACTAGTCAAGAAACATTTTTGAATTGTCCGAATTTCACTGGGTCCAAATTAATACGACTTTTCTGGAGGTAAACAATCGATGATGCGTACGCAGTCTTGTATTATGTAGCCGAGTAGTTTGTATACTAGAGTGGTTCAGTATTATGTTTTTCAGGTTTAAAATTTTCCAAACACGCTTCTTTGAGTAAGAAAAACTTCATATGACTCTCATTAGTTTGATCCAGCGTGTTTGCATCTTAATCAAAACAATTTCTGCACTCTTTCATGAAGCGTAGATTTAATTCGTGTTCTCTCCGCACAGCTTCCGTTTTGAGGCTTCAACTGACAGTAAACTAATAAAGGGGGTCACGTGACCCAGTCTAAAAATATATAGCATATATAGCATTAATTAAAAATAAAACTAAGTACAACTACCATATGTACATGCATTTTGAATTATGGTATGCTGGATCCGTTTAAACGTACCTGGTTGGGGGGACATTTAGAGACTGGGGAAGGGGACATGGTGGTCCCGGGTCCCTGACAGGGCTCAGAATTCTTCACACAACTTCCTCTGGCAGGGCAGTAGTATTCCTTAAGATAAATCCCTTCAATATTATTCCTTTGTATTTATGTTTAAATGCATTTACTGAACACTTTCCTTTTTTAATTGCATTGCCACTAACAAGTAATGTTGGACTTGAAATCCATGGGAAAAAAAAATTAAATTATTGTCATAGTTACATAATAAATTGGTTGAATATTTGCCTTCTTGTTAGTATATATACCCATAGTTACTGTTTAATTTACATATAAATATCAACAACACTATGTCAAAACTAAAACCAGGAAGGCAATACATGTATATCTCTTACACAGTGTAACATTTACCTGCTTCGGGTCACACAGGTAGGGGGAGGGCATGGCACAGTTTGTATCCATCTCTACACACCTTCCTGACTTTAGGCAGAATATCTTTAAAAGTATGAAAGTTCTTTATTAAAATTTTGTTTAATATTTAATATAAATTTTATATCATAATATATATGTATTCATGTATAATCACAAAAGGAATAAATCCATCATTTAAACATTACGTGTACATGTATATAGAACCTGTGTATAAATTAACATTATATTATTCAAAGAGTGTGCATGTTTTCTTTCTAAAGTTTATTTCCAAATTTCACAAACACAGTGTACTGTACTCTTGAATGAAAAGAGTTAACCAATTCATAAAGCTACCTGGAACTAATCATCCAATCAGCAACCTACCTGTCCCTCTGTACACGAGCTTGTCACTGAGGGTGGGACTGTAGTTGTCTGTGGTCCCCTTGAATCACAGCCTCCCTGCTTTGGTAAGCACCTGCCCTTCTGGAGACAAAAATATTCATTGTCTCCACATTTATGACTTGTAGTCCCTCCCCCACTCTCCCCCTCACAACTCTCCTCCCAGGGTATACACTTATCCGTGGTCATACAGTACATCTCCCCAGTGCCACACTTATTGTCATCGCCATCTTCCCCGGTGCCACCACAGTCCCTTACTCTGGGTACACATCTGTTCCTCTGCAGGCAGAAATATTCCTCCTCTCCACATTTACTGTGAGTTTCTGATGTTGGAGTTGGTGCTGTCCGTTCACCCTCACATCCTTCTGAAACTTTGACACATCTTCCTCTCTGCAAACAGAAGTACTCATCACTGCTACATTTTGTCTGGACAGATTCCACCAATTTTTCTTTTTCTTTTCCACACCCTTCTTTCGGCTGGCATTTGCCAGAGGCAAGACAGAAAACCTCATTTTCTTGACATTTTCCCTGCACTGTTGCTCTGCTTTCACCCTCTCCCTCATTACAATTGGTTTGGCGAGGGACACATGCTCCCCTTTGCAGACAGAACACTTGATCTTCACTACATCGTGAGGTTGTGGGTTGTACAGTTGGTCCTGGGAAAGAGCAGCCACTATTCTTTGGAATACATCTTCCTGAGGCCAAACAGAATACCTGAAAACAAACCACAAATTTTATTTTCAATACAAAATGAGATTATTTTTCTAACACTCGACACATGTCTTCCATGTTTAAATCTATTCTTAGGAGTTAAAGCCTTTATATTTATATATTGTGACAGATAATAAATACATGTAACACTGAAGAAAAAAAGTTGTTAATTTAAAGGTACATTTTAGAATTACCTCCCCTTCAGAACACTTTGTGTGTAGCCTGGATGATTCTGCACACTGATCTCTGCATTCTCCATCAACACAATACCTCTTTAATCAAAATAAAAAGCTTATATTTTACTCCAAATGATTCACATAATCATAGTTACGTTTGTCTTTGGAATCTAAGACATATATATTTTGCATTATCCTGGTAGCAATTATTTAAAGAATCACTTGATATTGTTATATACAGACATTTTCTAGTTAAAGTTCTAGTATACACAAAATATCCCCTACTTAATTACAGTAGGTGTACATAAACACATTCAAAATTCATGCAGCACAATGATTTGTTATGAAGTGATTGGAGTAATCATGAATCAGCACTACAGATGTGCATGCCATGTATTGTAATCGTTTATGATTTAAGTTATCTGCGCCAAAATGCACCAAAGTGCAGTATTTGCTAAGTTTTACTGAAAGAAATGAAATTAAAAGAAATGCTATTATGCACGATAACATACTAAATGTACTGACTACATCACAAATCTAAGATGGTATTTGTTTTACTTCAGTTCACTGAGGAAAGCAGTGATGCCTATGGAGGTTTATGTTCAAATTCTGACTTGATGACCATACATGACTTTCAGACTCTCTGTCATAAATGGAATAAAATTTCTGAGATCTTTGAGCTTTGTTAAAGGCTACGACTTAAGAAAATTTATATGACCAGTGAGAGCTAGATTCAAATAAATTAACATGTACATGTAATACCATAGAAGTGGAATTTATAGTGAGACGCAAGTTTAGCGATTTATCCCACAAAATTGGTGTATATTTTTAGCAAGAGGTAATTATAGCGATTTTATAATAATGCCCAGGAAAATAGCTATAACCATCAATACAGAATGAATAAATTAATTGTATTTTTAGTGATTTTCAATATTAGAGATATCAAAACCCTCGCTAATAATTTACCAAAATTAAATCTTAATGGCTAAATTTCCGCTTATATGGTATGTCTCCTTATGCAACATGCTACTTAGTCACTCAGCTTATTTGATAATTAAGCCAATTCTTTGAAAAGCATTCTAATCCAATATGTCCAAAACATATGTTATGCAGCACCCCATCTTGTGGTCCCAATGTAACTCTATTATTGTATATGTACTTACTGTTCCTGGGGGACAGATTCCGGTTGTGGACAGCAAACTTGGTATAGATGTAATGAAATTAGGTGGTGTGGTAAAAACCTGAGTAAACCCCTCCACGCCCCTCCATCCCACAGCAACAAACACCAGACACAGGCCAACAAGAGCTGTCAAAAAAAGGTTAATATATGCTACATTGTATATGTCTGAATAATTTTGAAATATATATACAGGGACCAACCTAGACCCAAAATTTAGGGAGACTTCACTTCTCTCTCAAAGAAATGTAGGGAGAAGTTTTGAATTCTAGGGAGACTTCTTGGTGCGTGTGGCGCACATTGATCATTATGAAACTTTTTAAAAATAAAAACATTTCATTGTTTATTACTTAAATACATTTCAATAATTCTTTCCGTATTATTTAAACATCCTAGTAAAAATAATTTAAAAAAAAAAAAAAAAAAAGAGAGAAAAAAAAACTTTATATTTTTCCAATTACAAGGTATATAAATATCTACCAAAATATATAAAATGACAATGTAAGAGTTTCTAATAACTTGTTTATCACACTTTTTCTTTCATTTCTTGCATAATATGCACAATTAACTTTTAAATGATTCACACGTTTTTCTCTCCTCTCAGGGTAAGAGTTTCAGGCTCTTGGCATAGTCATAAATTTGTTATTGTAAGAATGGACTTTTTCATACACAGAAGCGTAAAATCTAGAGGAATTACGACAGAGTATTCGATGCATTGGTCATTAGTAGCAAAACAGGTGCAAGTGCCCTGCTGTTTCACTTATTTCAGCAGTAATAAAACCAGATTTATAAAATAGTGATGATACTACTACGTTTCTTAATAGATTTTTTATGATTTTCAATACAAGGGTTGCAAATGTTAAGGCGACTTAAACTTCTCTTTCGTGATAAATTACGGTGAAGTTTTGAGCTCAAAAGCAACTATTTCGCCTCAGTCACCCCTTAGGTTGGTCCTTGAATTTATAGTTTTTATAGCATGCAGATAGCAATATAGATCTATCTAGCTGTGGTCTAACTAACATAAACCAACAGGACAAAGGGCTACATTGAAAATTGTTCTCATTGTGATTGGATAGTGTTAGATGTACAATGTATTTCCATCAAAACTTTTGCAGAAGTTTTAACAACATAGTATGTAGGGTTGTAAGTATATGTTGGTGAACTTTACCCAGATACCATGAGATTTGGTGCCAGCAAAGCAAATCAAATGGTACCTGGGAAAAGTTTACAACATATTTAGTACATGTTTCACATGAGAAATTAAATCCTTTGTGTCTTTATCTATTTCATTTTAACTCTTCTGATATCTTTTCTTTCTTAATCAAGATAATGATGATTTAATCCTAACTGGTGCTATTATGTACATGCAGGCTCAGATGTGACAATTATACCCTCAGGGGTATATCTACCTCTCTGCAACAGGTCAGGTGAGTCCACAGTAAGTACATTTCAAATAAATAGGTAATTGACAAAATCTCTGTATGTAGCTAGTTATGTCTTTTCTAATGGAATTAAGCCAGCTAGGAGCTAAGGATCTTTTGGACATTAGTGAAAATTTGTTTTTGGATGTATAGATCTAAAGATTTGAAAAATGGTCAAATTACTTCAGAAACACAAAGAATTCAACAGAAAGTGCAACAACAAAAAACTGTAGAAGTTCAACTTGTGTCAGCCTTTATGTTTTATAACAAGTAAGTAAATTTTATTTATAAAGTTGGAATTTTGTACACCGAGTATAACAATGAGTTCTGAAGAGACTGTAAGTAACATAAAATTGTACGGACTCCTTGAGCAATATCAGGCCTGTAGGAAGCAAAGCAATTTCAGTTTGGGGGGGGGGGGGGGGGGGGGGGGGGCACAGCCATACATTTTCAGTTGGGGGGGGGGCACTATCAACTACCAAAAATTTCTTGACAAACATTTTAATTGAGGGGGTGCAAGCATATAGTAGCTATGTTTTCTATAGTAATCTATATATTTGCAAAATTATTATTATTAAATTTTTACATTTTATTGGCTTCTTAGCATCTCAGGATGAACAGTCATTGTTTATCGACCTTGACACTATGTCCATGCATGATTATAATCTTTCATTGATACTGATAGTTTTAATAATAATAGGCTCATGATTAAAAAGTGTTGCACCAATTCATTTGGGTTTATGATACATGTATGTACAGTACAAACCTACATGTACAGGTCCAGTACAAAGACTATTTCTACCTATGAAGCTATTAAGAGCCAGTCCGCGAGAAAACCATGCAAAACCGTCCAAATCGAAGGTTGTCATATCTTGATGAAATTTGGTGGGTAGTTAGACTTCATAACATGTAATTCAAAAAAGTCAAAATTTTCTCCATCATCCAACATGGCAGCCATAGGAAGCGCCACCTTCTTTTTGCACATTTAAGTGCAAATGCACTTAAATAATTCAAGCAAAATGGTAAAAATTACATTTGATTTATTTTACTCAAAATTAAATTTTTATTTCCTTTCAGGTATTTTAAAGTAACATATGACTATGTTCTTTTAAAACTGACATTTATCATAATCAAATACGCAACATATCAAAGGGTAGACAACTCTTAAAAATTGGCACAATGCCAAGTTTGAAGAATTGACAAAATTATTACACATTGAATGGCCAAAATCTTCCAAGACCAAGCTACAAAATTATAATTTTTGAGCTTATTGTCAAAATATAACTCTAAATATTATCTTTGCAAAATATTAAGCTTGGGATTTCATAATTTATTGAGATATAGAGATTTACAAATTGTCAATTTTCAAAAAAATATTCAAATTCCAATGGGTTACAAAATCAAATATAGAACTTTAAATTATGAATACTTGTTATTATATAAATAGTGCACGTTTTTGAGGGTAACAGTTGAAATTGACACCCCAAGGAAAACCATTGTCAACCGACGCGTCAGCGGAGGTTGACAATGGTTTTCCGAGGGGTGTCAATTTCAACTGTTACCCTCAAAAACGTGCACTATTTATTTTATTATACTGAATGTCTTATTGATTTCGGATGTCATTAAAAAATTCGGAGATCGACGTTAACTTCACGCTTAGAAAGCTTTCAAACTCCCCACTTCTATTTTTCTCAATAGGAAAGCTTCGTAAAAGATTTACCAACCTCTTTATTATTTGTTCGCTACTCAAAAAGTCCTTTATCACCTAAAGTTTGCACTCGCAAGGATGTTTCGTCTGTCGTTTGTCTTTTTCAAGTAAGCCACATCGGACGCAAGCTTTTATTGACGTCGTTTATTCGGCTTCTTTCAAACGCACAACCGACGTTTTGAGAATTCTACGGTGAACCGTACGCGCATGATTTGAACGCATGTGATATTTTCGTAATGTTACCCGTTGTCAAGTGTGTTGCTAACGCTGAGGGTAATATTACAGAATATTTACATTTGCAAATGTTTTCCCTTATATAACACTATTTGAACAAGGCGTTTTTACACCTGTGTAAAACACGTTCGTCATGTGACCATAAATTGATTGTTTAGTCATAAACGATCTACGTAATTTCATAGTGACGTCATAAGTGATCGACGTGTTCAACACATTCAAGTTATACCGTTGAGTTTTGAAAAAAATAAATCATTTATGGGTTTAAAACTTTAGTACCTTACTATCTGTTATAAATCAGTCACAAATGTAAATATAAGTAATAAGGTATCATTTTAAAAGTTTTATCGGGATGTAAATACGGGTTGGCATGTGATCAAATCTACCATAAAGCCCTTCGGGCTTTATGGGATTTGATCACATGACCAACCCGTATTTACATCCCAATAAAACTTTTAAAATGATACCTTATTTCTTAATTGTTAAATGTGTCTAAACCAATCAGATTTTAGTATTTAACATGAAAGTATAATAATAGATAAGAAAAAATGTTACCATTTTCTTTGTAACCATAATATTGAAAAAAAAGATATGAAAATAATTAAAAAAATTCAAAAATTACCCCCAATTTGAGGATTGGCATTTTGCCAATTGTTTAGAAATGGTATGAATTCATGATAAATTGTTTTGGTTTACTTTTAAATTTTCAACGATCATATTGAATATTCATGTTTCTTTCATTTTTGTAAGATAGTTTCTCTATAATTAAAAAATTGGAATTTATATGTCTTTAAATTCAGGAGGACTCTATTACATCACGGTTCACAATACATATAAATTATGAGACTTGAACACATTTGAGCTTCCGATAAGTTGTTTGCATTCTGTCAATTTTAAATTGGCCCACTCTTGTCAAAATAACAATTCTGAATTATCAAAATACTGACATGAAAATGATGAAGTGCTATGCAAAATACTCCATAAGGGAATTTAGCTTCTTTTTTTTTTTTTTTTTTTTCAAATCATAGAACTTAATTTTCATACATCCATGTAGATTCATTATGGTATAATTCTGAGATATGAGGAACATAAGTAAAAATCAAAGAATTGTTTTTATTAAAATCTGGGTTTTTTTTCTTATAATCTTACTAAAATGGATTTTGTAAAATGATATATACTGTTAAATCATATTTTGTAGTTTGAGGGGAAGAATTGGTTCTGGGGATTCAATTTAATGGCTCTGAGGTGTTTAGTTGTTGCATATTCCAAAATTTACATTTTACACTCTTCATACCATGACAACAATGACCCCCCCCCCTTTTCAGTTTTAGACTCCAAATCTTTAACTATGTTATTAAACGAGTTAGCCAGTAATTTCAACATACCAATATTTTCAACATTCACTTAAAAATTGTATTTGTGTAAATATTTTTTTAACAAAATTCTACATATATAGTCCAATTTCACAAAGGTTTTCATTTGAATAATAGTGCAAGTACTAGAAATAATATTTCACTAAGTTTGCGCTTTGAACAACATGGCCATAGGAACACGGCCGTAGGAACAGGGGGGCTGCCCCCCCCCCCCCTTAAATAATTTTTCCGATATACAGATTCCTATAGAAAACATAGCTACTATATATATGCTTGTGCCCCCTCAATAAAAACGTCTGATGACCTTTTTTTTTTTGCTCGTCAAGGAATTTCGGGCAGTTGATAGTCCCCCCCCCCCCCCCCCCACAACTCAAAATGTATGGCTGTGCCCCC